ATTTGTTTTCTTATAATTAATAGAATCAATAGACAAAGAGTCACTGTTGGTGGTATTTATTTATTTATTTTTCAAATTTAAAATAGAAAATAAGATGATAAACAGAGGAAATGTTTGAAATCCAAGATGATTTGAAAACATTATTACTCAAGGAGCTTGTCCTCGTGCCTAGGTCCCAGTGGTAGAAAATGTGATTTAATTATCCAATCTGGAGGTCTGGGTTGGGTCCCAGATATCAAGATTTTTGAGATGCTCTCTGGTAATTTTTCTCAGCGTTTTGAGCCACTTGTTTATAGATGAACTTACCTAGAGGAAGGTCAACAGATCAGGAGCTTTATAAAACAACACACGCCAGGACCTCAACTCAGAGCTGTGAAACTGGAATCTCTGATTGTAGGACTCAGGCATTTGTAATTATATTCACAGGTGACTGTTAATGCACAGGTAGAAGTGAAGATACTCAAACTTCAATATCTCTGTTAGAGCTGATATTTTATATTGTTGGCTGTTAAAGTTGCAATTAAATCCAGCATTTCTTTACCTTTGAGAGATTTTGTTTCTGCCGTTCTCCCAGTCTTACTTTTCAGCCACACACACAGTCCGCCTTCCCTGTTTTCTTGAATTGCCTGTCCTTTCAAGTTACTTCAAATCCCTTTTGGAACAAAATTGGATATAAACAGAGTGGGGGGAGGGGACTATTAATTTTTTTGTTTCTATACCTAAAACAGAGTTTCTCAAACTCTGCACTGTTGACGTATTATTCTGCATAGTTATTTGTCATGGAGGCTGTCCTGTGCATTGTAGGATGTTTAGCGGCATCCTTAGTCTGTGCCTATTAGATGCCAGTGGTGTTTTCCCAATTTCAACAACTACAGTTATCTCCAGAAATTGCTAAATATCCATTGTGTGTAAAATCATCCCAGGTTGAAGGCCACTGATCCAGGAGATTGAGTTCAAATGTTTGGTTGGAAAAAAAACACAAAAAGCCCGCAAATGACCAAATGCCTGTAGTATTTAACATTATATTATTTATTTTGCTTCTTAATAATACCTTCTTCCTCAGAACTAATAAATTTTTCATTTTTCTTCCATGGAAATGTTTGTTTATGTGTTGAAACTATCAGAATTGAAGAATATTGCTAAATAACTCTGAAACAGACGTTCTGGTCTTTGTGAACAGAAATCAAGTAGACTTAAATTATCCCACATTTGAGTGTGTTTTATAACTGTATCTGTATCTTTGTTAATTTAAATGTAAACAAGACAGTTTTCTAAACAAGAATTTTCTAAATATTAAGTGGCAAATATGACTTCAGGACATATTGGCCTTGTGTTTTCAATTGAGAAGCAAAGTAATAAACTCTGTCAGGGAGAGTCCAAATGTGGCCTCTTGGTGGCACTGTTTATTCTTAGCAAAAATGATTTTTCAGCTCACAAGACTGCAGTGCTTGATGCATTATGCTTTTCAGAATATGTGGTTTAAGTTCAATGAAATAAACCATTTTCAGGAGGATGCAGTGTCAATGGAAGAATTGTTGTACTGTCACTCTAACAGACCATGATGGCTGTATCCCCACAATTTGTTGTAGGTCAGGTTGGCCCTAAAGTAAGGTTTGCAGGCTAGCAGCAGAGTGTAATTACCCAAACAAAAAGACACAGATACAGTATGTCATCCCCTGCTAATGACGACAACATTTTCTTGCCCAGTAATCTGTAACAAAAAGCCACATAAACGATCAGGCTGCACTTAAGTGCAGCACTAAAGTAAAACTTGGGGGCACAAAAATTATTCCAGCCAATTGAGTGGAAATGACAGAGAATAATACAAAGTTATGTCTGCTAGGGAGATGTGTATTTGGAATGTCACCAATGGACAGTGCGTGGAGAAGGCCACACTTCCTTACAGGCACACTGCAATCTGTGTAAGTACCCTAACTTCCCTCCAAACATCTCTGCATTCTACAACTGGCTTGGAAAAATTGCTGTGCACATAGTTATAGAGCTGTCTCTGGAGGATATTCTTTCTTCCAAAATATTTTTATTTTGTCATGAGGGTAGAATTTCTTAGTACTCATCTGCCATTTTGATATTTTGCTTTCCAAAGAGTTTTTATTGAAGTTAATTAAAAAAAAAATTCTTTCCATCTTTCTAACAGATAATTTTGAAAGATTGTTTTCTTGGTTTTCCATGGTGACACTTCACACACACACAAACCCACAGAGAAAGATTCAGTCTTGACGAAGTGCTCATTTATATATATATAAATATGTATATATACATATATATTTATATGTTCTCATTTTCCAAGTTTAATCTACTTTTGATGATAGGTTCTGAATTTCTGAATTTCTTATTTATGAAGAGAACAAAAGGGCTAGCCATAACCTTTGCAATCATGTTCCAGTGCTTAAAGTAGATACTGGCTTTTGATAGATGATTCCAAGGTACTGACGGTTTTTTTGTTTTGTTTTGTTTTGTTTTTGTTTTATTTTAGTCATTGCTTTTAGAGTTGATGACTTGCATTGCAACATTCACAAACTCATTTTTATTGTTCAGGGAACAAGGTTCTTCACAATAAGAGATATCTCATTAAAAGTAGAACATTTTCCTTGATCTTTGATAAAAACTATTCCCAAAATTTATTCTGCACAATAATACCTTAAATGTTCTCCAAACATTTTTATATTTCTTTGCCAGTTGTAACAGTGTTGCTAGATTAAGAAACCTAGATTTCATTGTTGTTTCTTTGTTTTACCTAGCACACCAGAAATGATGTATTTATGTGCTTTCCAAGATTTGCAATAAGATTCCTTCTTCCCACAAGGCTCACATTTTTTCAGAAAAATAATAAAATGTAAATGAGAATAAAGGACAAAGTCAACACTTTTGAGAGCAGAATAATTGAACTAAAGTGAATTTTAGTTGCTGTTCCATGTAACACCTTAATTGAGTGGGTGCTAAGACTGAAATCCAGAGAAGGCTTCAGCACAGCCAAAATTAAGTTAATTGCTAATGACTCAACCATGTTTTCTGCTTTTGTTATCCATTTGCTTAGTATTACCATTGCGCATTCCGGATGACAGGAGAAGGCTGGCTTCTGTGTTGTGGGGAATACCAAGATGTCCTCATAATTGATGCCAAAACTTTAGCTGTTGTTCATACTTTTACATCATTTCAGTCTCCTGATTGGATCAACTGCATGTGCATTCTTCACTCCACGAGAATTCAAGGTAATCATCAGATATTGCAGAACACTAAGAAATTGCATATACAAATATGCACTTTTGAAGCATTTGTTACATTATTGCTCAAAAGCTAAGGATGTTTCTTTGTTTACCTAGTAGTGAGAATAGCTGTCTAAGTCACTTCAAGGAGAACTGAGAACACTAATACCAGTGGTTCAATTCAATGGAAAATCAGAGGGGAAGGTGAAGTGCAAAGGGGAGAATCTTAGTTTCCATGACCCAGTCATGCTGGGTACGTTTTAAGAGTGATAAGGAGCTGTTTGGTGCAGATTAGCGGGGCTCTTAGAAATTTCATCCTGCTATATCTTTTGGATGTAACAATGAAGATAATTCAGTTTCTGAACTGAGTGTGTATATAAGAAAGAGAAGGCTGGCTCCATAATTATTTCTGAAATAGAAAGGTGTAATATTTCCAGTACATTGCCTTGCGATATGGTTCTGCTTTTAGTAGTGCTCTCATTTCACATAGGAATAATTTGAAATTTTAAAGAACATTTGGAGTTCAATCTAAAATATTTTATTTATTTATTAGTGAGACAAAGCTGAATATTTCTCACCAATACAGCTCTGCAAAATCCTTTAATGACTGTGAAATAATCTTTATAGGAACCAGGTATAGCTGTGGGCTGCTTGTATGTGACCTTTGTTCTTTTTGCAGAAGATTCTCTCTTGGTGGTATCAGTAACTGGAGAGCTCAAAGTCTGGGATCTCTCTTCATCTATCAACAGCATTCAGGTTGGCTTGAGAAATTCTGAGTTTTTTTTTTTTTTTTTTTACTTTTTTAAGTGAAAGTTTAAAATTATGAAGCTATTACATGTTCATTGTTAAAACATCAAATAATATAGAAGTGAATAAATTTTACCTCCATGTATGTTCCCCTATCCTTCTTCCCAGAGGAAAGCATTGGTAACAATTGAATCGTATTCTTCCAACCTTTTTTCTATTCATATACAAATGTATTCATACACACACACACACACAAATTGATTACATTTTTCTGAAGAAACTGTCATAGAAGAATATATCTCTGTCCCTCACAACAGAAGACTCTTTTCCTTTGGGATATGTGGGAACAGTGGCAAGAAGGTGACTATGAGGAGGTCAAGGTCCCTCGCTGGCACAAATGGTTAAATGCTTGACTAATAGCTGAAAGGTTGACAGTTTGAACCTGCCCAAAGGCATTGTAATATAGGTATGGTGATCTGCTTCTGAAAAGTCATTGGCTTGAAAACTCTATGAAGCAGTTAAACTCTGCATACATGGAATGCCATGAGTTGAACTGATTCGATGGCAGCTAACAAAAGCAACAACTGGAGGTCACCCATTGAAGGTGAAGCATATTCACTTGCTCTCTTACATCAGGCTGCAAGTTCTGATAAAGGCAAACATACAGCCATAGTATTTGTGCAGGTGATAAAATTATTTAGGCTGCCCAAGGGAGCTCTGGGCACTTTTTAGGAATTTCTTATTTGAGAAAATCTAGGAGTTGTATTGGGATACTAAGCCCAAGAAATACCAACCTAACACTCTCAGAAACTTACTGAGAATACAGTATTATATATGTTTTGTCTGAGCCACTCTTCTGTCTTTCCAAAGCACTTTGTTCATTTTTTCTATTTTAACAATTAAGATGTTCTTGTTGTTATGTGCCGTCGAGTTGGCCCTGACTCATAGCAACCCCTCCTTGGGTTTCCAAGGCATGATCACTATGGAAGTAGATTGCCCAACCTTCCTTCCGAGGAGTGGCTGGTGGGTTTGAACCACCAGCTTTCTGGTTAGCAGTCAAGTGCCTTAAGCACTACACTACCAGAGCTCCCAATTTTGTTTTATCTTTCTACCATGTCTCAAAATCAGTAACTTATTTACATTCTTAGCATCTAGCATAGTCTTCCCACAGACTGCTTGTTGAATGATTTTTCTATAATGATGCCTTGAATCCAAGTGTATTTCCTGCTCACAGCTTCTTTTGTAAAGGAACATCTTAGTTCTGAAAATTTAAATGGAAGCTAGAATATTTTCATTTTATAATAACTGATGGCATCTGTTTCAGGGGTAAAGGAGCATGTTTTCTCATGGTCATATAAAAGGTAGTAGTAACTAGTAGTAAAATGTTTTCATTCCTTTAAGGAAAAGCAAGATGTCTATGAAAAAGAATCCAAATCTCTGGACTCACTGAACTGTAAGACAATACGATTTTGCCCGTATACAGAGAGACTTCTACTGGTGGTATTTTCCAAATGTTGGAAGGTATTATAGAATAACATAATAAATAACAGTGATACATAATGTAATTTGTTTTTGTTTTCTTCTTTAGTACAACAATTGTAAGAATAAGATTTAAATATGATCCAAATTCTTTTTAATATTTTTAACAGAACATGAATGACTTTTGTCTTTTATGACTGATTTTTATCAGTTTTCTGCTCCCTGCATTCAACTATTTTACTTCCCAGGACCGTATATATTTAGTAGTATATACTAATTTGATTAATATCAAACCATAATAATAATGAGCATTTATCTCTAAATTGTCTTCCAATGTTGCTAATTTCACTTCAGAATTAAAAGATTTTAATTAAATCTTACAAAGATTTTAACTAATCTTACATAGATTTATCTTGTTTTTAGACTTTTCTTTTTCTCTTCTTGTGAATATATTTACTGATTTCTCCAAGAAAAAAGAAAAGCTAAGTTACCATCATTTGATAGCATCCTTTTTACTTCATTGTTTCATATAACTAGGTCAGTGAAGAAAACCACGTTGTCTTAGTTGTATGGTGGTAATAACTTTTTGAAATAAAATTTAAAGTACATTGGGGTAACAAAGGATTTCTGTTGTATAAATGTTTTGTATAATAAAATTTCTGATGTTAAACTTGGACTACCTATATGGAAAAGAATAAAACTGTATGAAATTTGGGGATTTTTTTGGTCTCTGTGCTTCATGGGCACCTTATGGAACGATTTACCCAGGTATTGCCTATCTACTGAAACCTACCACAGGATAAATGTGAAAAAAAGTAATAGTAAAATATCAGTTTGATACATGAGTACATTATAACCTATTATACTTAATATGTCTTATGTTAATATAAATACTGTCATCTAAATACATAGCACAATTTGTCATTTATCTCATTGACAGGTTTGATTATAAGCGTTTGTTAATGAGCATCAACTTTTTGTTTTAGGTTTATGATTACTGTGATTTTTCTCTCCTGTGGACTGAAGTTAGTAGAAGTGGGCAGTTCTTTACTGGTGGGGAAGTGCTTGCTGCTCACAGAATTATCATCTGGACAGAAGATGGTCACAGTTACATCTATCAGCTGCTGAACAGGTGGGCTCAGATGGGAGCGGCATACAAAACATTCAGGTAGAAAATGAACTTTGGGAGGTTTATTATGGAAAAATCCCTGCATGCTGCTCATGATCAAAAACCAGAACAAAACAACTTTGGCACTAGGAGATTTACCCTGGGCTTGGTAGGCTTCAGCCTTTGTGTGAAACAGCAGGGGATGAAGGAATGAGATTAACCATGTATAGCTTGTACAGCTGGTGCTGGGTTTTCAAAAAGTCACTTGTAATTATTACTCAACAATTTCTAGCTAGAGTTTAGAAACTTGAATGGTACCATCCGGCTCTGGAAAGTCAGGAAAAAAAAAAAAAAAGCACAATTGAATAAAGAACCCCAAATTTCTAAACTTTGCTTTTTATTTCTGCCATGTAGTGGGCTTTCAAAAAGTATATACCCTGCTGATGGAAGAGTACTTAAAGAGACCATTTATCCTCATTTACTCTGCTCTACTTCGGTGCAAGAAAATAAGGTAATGAAAGAATAGAGTGACTGCCTCAAAGCTGCTTGACTTGGTTTCTTAGATAAATGTTGCTTTGTCTGTAACAGAGTCAGGCTTGGGAAAAAATTGAATTGAAGCAGTGCATCAAGTTGTTAACAAGAAAATCAAGTCTAATTGTTAATGGCTGCTGAAGAGAAAATTGTGTCTTTAAAAATCTCTTAGTTTACGTCCGATGAACTGGACAATACATTCTATCATAGTAAATCTATGAATGCTGAAATGGACAAAGGAGGAATTAAAAGTCCTAATCTCACTATCATAACATATTGTGAATATTTTTTATGTATTTAAAATATTGGAAAGTTTTCAAATATTTAGGAAAGTTACAAGAATAGTACAATAATCACTTATATTACTCTTCACCTACATTCGCCAATTGTTAAAATTTTTCCATATTTGCTTTTTCTTTCTCTCTAAATGTAAGCATATGTGTGTACGCACACACACACACACACACTCACATACCACCCATGTTTTTCACTGATCCTTTTGGTAGATGGTTTGACAGAACATTGTTAACACTTTGATGTATCTACTCCTATTTTGAAGCTTTATGAAATGAGCTTATGTCTTGCCTTTTTTTTTCACCTTAACTATATATTGAGATCATTTTCACATGTATTTAGCTCTTTTTTCTAAATAAATTTTCTTGTTAAAACAAATATGATTCCTGACAGAAAATTGCGGAATAAATGAGACCTTGTTATTTGACTGAATCACATCTTTTTATACTCTATGAAGTCTGAAAATATAAACGGTTTTTATTTATTTCTTTTTATTTTCTTTATTTGGATAGTGTTACCCAACGTTTTTTTAAAAAATCCTATTCAACTTAGTCATCAAATAATTATCCAAAAAGGTACTTCTAGAGAACAGAGGGTTTGAAGTATTGATGGGTCAACCAAGGAAGCATGCTACTTTTTACAGAATGATGGTTTCCTTAATTAAGCAGGATAGCTGAAATCCTATAGTTCAGTGATTGTCCCTTTTACATATCTGGGCGATTTTTTTGCAAAAGCTTGAATAAGAACTGTCAGACTAAAGTTAGAACTCCATATGTCATTGGGGCGTAGATCTACTTTAGAACCATGGCATCAGGGACTATTTCTAAAATCATTTGTGGGCAGCAGTAGAGTCGTTTTGCTCTTGATCACAAAATGAGTATTGTGGTTTACTCAGAAAGGAATTTTTAGTTATTTTTTTAAAGACCAGCCCTTTCTACCTTTATAGCTCCAGTTTGCCATAGGAGAAAGTATACCAATAAAAGTAAAATCAAGTAAAAAAAATACTAATCTCATCAGAAGTCACCTTCCTTAGTTTCTCAGAATGTGAAGATATAAATTTATGAGTCTCCTACCATTATTTTTTATTTAGATAACCACAGCTGTTTCTGTGTCTTACACACAGAAATTGCCTGGAAGCTAGTGAAATAAGAATAATCTGAAATTGAAAGAAATTGACTTACTCATCTTTATAGACCCTTGCCCTGTATCCATCCAGGAAGTAAAAGTCAGACATTATTTTTCTTATTCAAAATATCACCAGTATTCCCTATAAGACTTCTTAGTCTCTTTTGCAGTTAGGAGCAAATAAAGGCATTCTGGTGTGGTGGGATTTGAATTTAATAGATATTTTCAGCTCAAAAAAGTGTTTTATAAACCTGTAGTACTAACTTGACTTAATTTTTAGAGAAAAATCAGAATTCATATAAGTAAGGGGCTATGAGAGTGTTTCAGATCAATAGCTGGGCTCATGAGGGAACTACTGGGGACTACACAGGATAAAATCTCAGTGTTTTCACAGTTGCGATACTGGGAGCAGATCTGCTGGTGGAGTTCTAGTAGCAGGAATGAGGACTCTCATTTTCTTTATTAGCTTTATGAGGTTCTCCTTAGCTTTACATCATGGCTGGTGATGGCTGTTGAAATTAGGAACTGGGCTCACAGGTTCTCAGGTGAGAAGTAAGAGTACACTGCTAAGGTGGAAGTAGCTGGGGGTAGAGACAGCCTGGGGCTTAATGATAAGAAGTGTGAGTATATCATCTGAGAGTAATGGTAATGACCATGATAATAGCTAACTTTTACTGATCCCTTATTATTGTCAAAAGTGCAGACTACCTCATTTACTTCAGATCTCACTATGGCCCCAGTTTGAAACTGATGTTCAGAGAGAATTCCCAAGGATTTGAATGTAAGCAGTTTGGCCCTGGAGTCTAGAAATGGGTCTTTAGAGTGGGTTCTCAATCGAGAAAGGGATAATAAGAATGGTTTAATATTTATTGTGCATGTACTAAATGCTAGACACCATACTAAATTTACATTTATCAACTCATTAACCTTCACAACAGTCTCATTTAAAAAACTAGTTGCCATCAAGTTAGTTCCAACTCATGGCATTTTACTTTTATTTTTAGATAAGTCTTTCATCTCTAACATGTTATAATTAAAATTAATTCTTTCGATTCTTTGCTCTTACACATTCTTTAATGATTTTGTTATGATTGAGCTACTGAACAATACCTACTTCTGTACATAATAAGGATAATGAATTGAACTTTTCTTGAATCACTGTCTTACACTGATGTTTTTTGAGTCTCTTTAGGGATGAAAATGAGCATTCTGTTGTGCAATTTGTGGTCATTAAAATTAGGAATATATGCAAAGCAATTTCACTATTGGGAAATATGCATTGTATTTTATCTTCTATATGGGATTATACATGCCTACATGCCAACTCATGGCATTTTTATTAGGCTTGATTTACCAGTGGGAAAATGAGACATACAAATGTTAAGAGAGTTGCCTAAATTAAGTAACCTGTTCTTTTAATAAACCAGGATTTAAATCCAGGTAATTAACTACTGTATTTTATCACCTCTCAGATGATGAGCACTCCCTGATAATATAATGAAAAATCAAGATTTGTCTGAGTAAAGGGCTATAAGTGTGTTTTCAGATGAATAGCAGAACTAGAGAGGGAGCTACTGGGAAGAAAGGGTATGGAGGGCGGAGTCAAGGAGTGGATGACTTATGTGAGGAATGGAGTATGGAAGGTAATGGTGGAGATGTGTGGGGGAAATGACAGCAATTCAGGGAACATTGTTTTATGGAAGGAAGGAAGTAAGCTTCATTCCCATGTCAAAATAATAAGGGATTGTTGTTGTTGTTGTTGTTTGCCGTCAAGTTGGCCCTGACTCATAGCGACCCGTCCTTGGGTTTCCAAGGCAGTATCACTACAGAAGTAGGATTGCCCAACCTTCCTTCCGAGGAGTGGCTGGTGGATTTGAACCGCCAGCCTTCTGGTGAGCAGTCAAGTGCTTTAGGCACTATGCTACCAGAGCTCCTAATAAGGGATTAGGACTGGTAAATTCTAAGGTAAGTTAAAGGTTCAGAGAGGTTGAAAAACTAATTTAGTCACATTTTTTCAAGACTATTTCTAACACTTACCACATGATGGTCATAAGACTTTAAGACCTCTGCCAAACCAAACCCATTGCTGTCAAGTTCATTCTCATGGAGACCCATGTGTTTCAGGACAGAACTGCTCCATAGGATTTCAGTGGCTACAATCTGTGTCACATGGGGTTGTTATGAGCTGGCATTGACTCGATGGCACCTGACAATAACAATTTTAGGGAAGTAGACCACCAAGCCTTTCTTCTGTGGCATTACTGGGTGGATTTGAAATGCCAACCTTTTGGTTAGTCTAGTGCAAAGCATTTGTACCACCCAGGGACCCTTATGACCCCAAAGTGTCTTCTGAAAGTAAAAAATAAATAAATGAATAAGATTCATTCAGAAATGAGGATTAAATAGATCAGTATTTTGGTCCTTAATATTCTCTAAAGACACATTGTAGAATCTTTGCACTAATATATCTACATCCTGACCTTAAAGCTGTAATTTCAGACTAGGAACTGTCTCTTTCTCAGACAAATTTATTTCTAACACTAGCAGTTGGCTTTCTTTTTCGAGATACTTTTTATGTGTATCAAAAGGGCTTTTGTTTTTGTTTTTCTAATTACTTAATCATTTTGATCCCTTGTGCATAATCTCTATATACCAAACCAAAACCAAGCCTATTGCCACTGAGTCAATTTTTACTCATGATTAAAGCATGCGTGTTAGAGTAGAATTGCTCCATAGAGTTTTCAATGGCTGTTGTCTTCTGGAAGTAGATCGCCAGGCCTATCTTCTGCAGTATTGTTGTTGTTGTTGTTAAGTGCCATCGAGTCGTTTCCGACTCATAGCGACCCCATGCACAGCAGAACGAAACACTGCCCGATCCCGCACCAGCCCCACAATCCCTGCTATACTTGAGCCCATCATCGCAGCTACCGTATCAATCCATCTCCTTGAAGGCCTCCCCCTTCTTTGTTGACCCCCCACCCTACCAAGCATGACATCCTTCTCCAGGGAATGGTCCCTTCTTACAACATGACCAAAATAGGTGAGACGAAGTCTGGCCATTCTTGCTTCCAAGGAGCATTCTGGCTGCACTTCCTCCAGGACAGATCTGTTAGTTCTTTTAGCAGTCCACGGTACTTTCATCATTCTTCGCCAGCACCACAACTCAAAAGCGTCAACTCTTCTTCGGTCCTCCTTATTCATTGTCCAGCTCTCACATGCATACCAGGCAATTGGAAATATCACGGCTTATGTCAGGTGCACCTTAGTCCTCAAGGAGATATCCTTGCTCCTCAGCACTTGAAACAGTTCCTTCGCAGTTGACTTTCCCAATGCTACATGTCGTCTAATGTCCTGACTGCTGCTTCCATTGGCATCGATTGTAGAACCAAGCAACGTGAATTCCTTGACAACCTCAATCTTCTCTCCATTTATTGTGATGCTGCTCATTGGTCCAGTTGTGAGGATTTTTGTTTTCTTTATGTTGAGATGTAATCCATACTGCAGACTGTATTCTTCAACCTCCATCAGTAGGTGCCTTAAGTCATCCTCACTTTCAGCAAGCAAAGTTGTATCGTCTGCATATCTCAGGTTGTTAATGATTCTTCCTCCAATCCCGATAACACGTTTTTCTTCATATAGTCCAGCTTCTCGGATTATTTGCTCAGCATATAGATTGAATAAGTATATTACTGGGTGAATTCGGATCACCAATCTTTTAGTTAATAGATGAGTGCAAACTGTTTGTACCACCCAAGGACCTTTATCTTTGTATGCTAGCCTCCCAAAGAACTACCACGTTGTCTTTAGATAGTAGGAAGATTTGAGACTCAGTTACTTAATGAAAGCTTGTCTTTCAGAGCATTGGCACCCAACATTCACACTGTCTCAGCAAAATTAGAAATTACAGAGCCATTTTTCTTTGTGGTCCCTTGGGAGATTTGGAATCAATTATGTTAAATCTGAAGGATGCCAATGGTCAGCAGAAAGTGGAATGCATATTAAGAACATAAAATTACCATAGAAATAGTAGTAGTTGTTGTAGTTTTAATTGACTACTGGAATTGAAGGGACTTTAAAGAAATCAGACCTCCTTTGTGGGAAGGAGAGTACTCTCATTAAGACAACCAAACAACCAACCTCACTGCCATCAAGTCGGATTTGACTCATAGTGACCCATCCAGAGTTACTAGACTCAAGCTCCAGTTCTATCTTTTGCCGTTTATATTACCTTGGACAAATCTACCTATTCTCACTTGGTTTACTTAAGTATAAAATGACGACAATGATCGTACCAGCTTCCCAGGTTTTTTGTCAGAATTATTGAACCAAATACATGAAAAGTGCCAAACAGTATATATGATACATACATAGTTAGATGTTAGGTGTTCTTCATAATAGTTTGAAGTCTAGCTGATGACTTGGCTTCTGGTATATAAATATATTTTGGGGACTAATCAGAGATTATTTTGTTTAATTTAGTTGAAAATTTTGAAACCGTCAAAAATAAATGGAAAAGACTCAATTGTTTAGCTATGAAATCTTTTTCCTTTTAAAAACAGTGGATGTCTCTACTTTACAGTAGATTATTTTTGCTACATAGAAGTTAACTGTTTGTTTCTGACCAGAGTCTTCCCTTTGTTATGGGTTACATGAATGAAAGGAAAGAGCCTTTTTATAAGGTACTTTTCTCTGGAGAAGTCTCAGGAAGAATTACTCTGTGGCACATCCCTGATGTTCCTGTTTCCAAGTTTGATGGTTCACCTAGAGGTAAGACAGCTTCTGTTTCTAATCATGTGTCTACTGAGAATTAGTTTTCAAGGAACTTAGTGTTTTCCTAAGTTAAACACTGTAGCTATAAACAAGAAATTTTTTTATGTATACCGCTATGCTTTAAATTATTTTTAGTTGTTGTTGTTGTGTGCCATCAAGTTGGACCTGACTCACAGCAACCCCTCCTTGGGTTTCCAAGACAGCAGCACGACGGAAGTAGATTGCCCAACCTTCCTTCCAAGGAGTGACTGATGGGTTTGAATCGCCAGCCTCCCTAAAATTTGCAAATGTAAAAGCAAATATAAACATGATTCTGATAGATCTTATATAATAGTACAACTAATATAGTTCAAATTAACATCAGTTTAACCTAGTGAGTGATGTATCATTGAAAGAAATGAACGTTGGCAATATAAATATGGGATAGGCTGATATACCATATTCATATTTTTCAATTGTTATGTATATATATGCCATGTTCCCCTTTTCCAGAAAGCCCTGATAGTGCAAATGGTTAAGCACTCAACTGTTAACTGAAAAGTTGGTAGTTTGAACCCACCCAGCAGTTCCACAGGAAAAACACGTGGTGATTTACTCCTGTAAAGAATATCCCCAAGAAAACCTGATAGGGCAGTTCTACTCTGTCATATGGGGCACTGTGATTAAAAATCGACATGATGGCACCTAATAAAACAACACTCTTGTTTCAATCCATTTCTCTATTGAGATTGTTAGAGCTTCTTGTAACTGCAAACACAAACGTAAATGGGGCACTAAAACAGTTGGTAATTGTCCAGACAATTAGCATTTGCTTATTTCAGTTTTTCTTAGATGAAAAAACTGAAATCATTAAAATAGACCTTATTGGGAAGAAAGTGTACTCCAAATTGAGAAACCTCATGCTGACTCTTTTCCCCTTATTCCAAAATCAGTAAAACAGCTCTGTGAACCTTTATCTAGGGGCACAGCAGAAACAGAATGCCCATTTTCTTCAATAGTTAAATATATAAGCACAAGTTTCCATTGTTGTTGTTGTTGTTTGCCGTCAAGTCGGCCCCGACTCATAGCGACCCCTCCTTGGGTTTCCAAGGCAGTATCACTACGGAAGTAGGATTGCCCAACCTTCCTTCCGAGGAGTGGCTGGTGGGTTTGAACTGCCAGCCTTCTGGTAAACAGTCAAGTGCCTTAGGCACTATGCTACAGAGCTCCTAAGTTTCCATTAGTAAACAAATTTACTGGTATAATTTTTAGCATCCCTGTCCCACATTAAATTGTTCAAAATAAACCTAGATTAATGAGAAATGAGTCAAGAAAGAGAGTTGGAACTTAGTATGGTTAGGTGGAAAGTCTTCTTATAACTTCAATTTTAAAGTTAAAAAATTATACCATGCTCATTTTGAGGCTGCTTGATGATGATTCTAGCATTTTCCATGTGTTGTCTACCACTAATAGCAGAATGAAGCTTCTAGCCAAACTTGTTTGTTGCTAGAACCATAGAAGTCTCTGACAACTCTTGGTACTAGTCTAGAGTTTGGGGTTGGAGTTGTGACAGGAGGTTGTAGTGTGTTTCCTGAATGTCAGAGTCCCTGTCTTACAGACACAGGTTGGCACTTGGCTTCTTCATTCCTGAAGGCCAAGCCTCTTTCATTTTCTGAGTCTACCTGAGGCCCAGTTCAAATGCTTGAGGAGTCAACCATCTAAAATGATATTCGGTTCTCTTGGAGGCTTGTTATGAGTTTGAGATACTCAGATTCTTAGCACTTAAGAGTAAATTTCTTCTCTTTCCCTCATCCAACTAAAAGATAGTCACTTTTCCCTCCTAACATGCAAAGGCAAAGAGAAAACTCATGATATTGTTCTACTATTTAACGTCACTGCAAGAACTTCTCAGGTTTTTCAGTCGACCTAAGTCTGAGATGAATGAACTAATACATACCTATTCTTCTGGTCTTCTGAAAAATAAGACCAATTCCAATCAAATTTTGAGTGAAGGCAATGAATAGCTAGAGGACTCTTTTGCTTATAGCACACTTTTAGGATGGCAGAAGGGTATATTGCTTCTGAAGGGTGGCATCTTTATAATACTTTCCGTGTGTATGCTGAATTAAATTAAATTTCCTTCTTTTTCTCTTTTTAGAGATACCAATAAGTACAACCTGGACCCTTCAAGATAATTTTGATAAGCATCAAACCATGTCACAGAACATTATTGACCATCTTTCTGGGTTTAAAGATGGTGTTGGAACAGCAGTAGTCACTTCATCAGCGTATGTTCCAAGTCTTGATAAACTAATATGTGGTTGCGAAGATGGGAGAATTTTCATTACACAAGCTTTGAATGCTGCCAAAGCAGGACTCTTAGAAGGCGGTTCTTTATTAAAAGGTCATTGAATTTTATTTGAACCTATTTATTTAATTTATATAAGCTTCAGCTTGAACAAGCTGTACTAAAGAAGATTGAAGAGGCTTAAACATTTGCTAAGAAATTTGTCCACGTTTTAATTTTAAAATAAAACATACATAGAGGTTTATTAAAATAAAGTCAAGCAGGTTACACAATGAGAGTTAAATTTCTTCTTTGCTCATCCAGTCCTCTTCATTAAAGGCAACTACTGTATACCCTTCTTGAAATTTTCTGTACCTATACCAAGCACAAAACAGTATAGCAGTGTGCATTCTTTATTACACAAATAAGAGCGTATACTACACACTTCACCTAAACTTCCTTAAAATAAAATCTTAATACCTTGGGGCAAATTCCTTATATACTCATTCAAGATGTCTAATAATAATCAAAATTTAATGTTTAAAATCTTCCATTAATAGGTATTTATATTTTTTCTAGTCATTGGCTACTACAAAAAATACAGAATTCACTGTCTTTGCATTATATGGTGTTATATCTTTATTATTTATTCCTAGGAAAATTACTGGATCAAAGTTTATGAGCATTTTTAATTTTGAATGTAGATCTAAAATGTCTTCCAAAGAGCTTATATCCATACACATGCATGCCCACTATCAGCCTATAAGAACATCATTTTCCTCAAATGTTCATCAACTTTGTGTGCTATTAAATATTTTATCTTTGCCAATCCTGAGAAAAAGAGTATCATCCTGTTTGAATTTGTGTTTGTTAAGAAAATGTGTGTATTTGCAGTTTTATACATCTGTGTACATCACAAGAGCTAATAACTGTTAAACAAAGATGGTTATGCAGTAAATTATGTTCTGAAAGAGGGTAGGAAGTAGAGGAAATGACTGATATTTTGAGATGTATAGAAAATATTGTGTGGTTCCTATTAAACCATAAGATCCTTAAGCAATAAATACAAAATTCACAATTAAAAATAAAATTCCTATTATTGTTCCCAGCTTCCTTTGGCTACTTACTAAATGTTACTGACTTACTGATTGAAGTAAGGGAGTAAACAGCAATGAACCGAGGAGAAGGAGTTTACTGGTATAGAGTTAATGGGTGCTGTTAAAAGGTATTGAAAAAGCTTAGACCTTAGCATTTTTTTATCTGACTTGATTGATCTCAATATCTAGAGAACAAGCAGAAACCTATTTTTTGATTTCTAGCATGTGGATTAGCATTCATCATTGTTTACTAGGGAATACAAACTGTGGATAGGGCTGATGGAATGGAAGTAACTAAAGTATAATAATGATGCTTTGAGATTCATTTTTATTTTGAACACAGAGAATTTGTGATCTATAGTCTTCTCCAATTTTTTTAGGTTAAGCTAATGGTGAAGGAAGAAACAATGTAGTTAGTGAAAGAGTAATTAACCAGCTGTCAGTAGACCTCAGTTCTAGTTGTTGTTGTGTGCCGTCAAGTCGTACCCGACTCATAGCGACCCCTCCTTGGGTTGAGGCAATATCATTACGGAAGTAGATTGCCCCATCGTCCTTCCATCTGTTCTAGTAGTGATGGTATAAAATACTTGTATGCCTATCAAGTGACTAGCACAGTGGTAAAGAAATTATGATCATTATCTTATTTATTCCATACATCATATTATATGACGTAAGTACTATTACTGTCTCAAATTTTCAGATTCAGTACTGTGGTTTAGAGAAAAAAAGCAACTTGCCTGTATGACATACTTAGTAAGTGAGAGAACTTACAAAAACAAAGCATTTCTTTAACAGCAAAGCTATTCTCTTAAACTTTATGTTATATTTTTTCACACGTAGGTTCAAGTCATTAAACCTTTCTGAGCCTTCAAATACTTACTTATCTGTAAAGCCAAGAAACTAAATAATCTTTAACAACTTTCAAAGCAACAACTTTCTGTGAAATTTTGCTTTTCTTTTATACTATACTTGGTCATACTGATTTAAAGGGTAGCAGTATTCTGAACTTTTATTTGTAGCGGCAAAATGTATGAATTGTTCACTCTTTTACAGCAGTGTTTGTTATTTCCTGCCACTGCAATTGGTAACTTGCTAATGTCCTTACAGAATTAATAGGCTTTGAACAACCAGCTTTCGCATTTCATCAAAAACATGATCTACCTTATGATGAAGGATTTGGCTTTTTCTGTGATCCAGAAGTTGTTCGTTGGTTTTCTTAATCAAGTGTATAGCTTTAATTATATGAATTTTTTTTTTTAATTTTGTTTTGTCTTACATTAACATCTGTAAAAGGACATCTCCAAACTATTTCTGGAACAAAAGTAACATTTTTATTACTTGTTTCTTGTTTTCCAGATTCTCTCTCTCATAAAGTTCTTATAGGCCATTACCAAAGTGTCACTTCATTACTGTATCCACATGGTCTCTCGTCAAAATTAGACCAAACTTGGATGGTGTCTGGGGACCAGGATTCATGTGTCATCTTGTGGGATATCTTTACTGAACAAATTTTGCATAAATTCAGTTTGGAAGCTGGTCCAGTAACAAGTCTTTTGATGTCACCAGAGAATTTCAGAGTAAGTTAAGACAAAGAATGAAACATGAGACCGAAATCTGAAAGCTATATAACATTACAGAAAATTTAGAAAACAGAAGAAAAAAAAATAACCCATATTCCCACAAAAATAAAATATTCTATGTACATATAATTGGATGCTTTTTGTATATTCTTTTCTAATCTCTATATGCAATTTACTGTTATATATTATACAAATAATTTGGTACCAAAGCTGAGATTTTGTCAATTCTTGGCTTTACAGAAGCTACTTAATTATTTCTCTTTAAGTACTTACTTTTTTTAAATTTTTCCTGGTTCTATATCTTAATTTTTAATGAAATTATCTTTTCTTTTTATTTTAAAAGGAATATATACTCTATATGAAAACAATTCAAACAATACCCAATCAATAAATTGAAAATTAACTTTTGCCTTTTCCTTTCCTCTTCTAATAATATTAATAAATACTTATATTTCTTTTCTTGAATGGATTTGTAATTGCACCTTAATATATTTAATAATGGGAGCGCTGGTAGCATAGTGGCTAAGGCACTTGACTGCTAACCAGAAGGCTGGTGGTTCAAACCCACTAGCCACTCCTCGGAAGGAAGATGGGGCAATCTACTTCCGTAGTGATACTGCCTCAGAAACCCAAGGAGGGGTCGCTATGAGTCGGGTCCAACTCGACGGCACATAACAACAACAACAACATATTTAATAAATAATGAGTAACAAATTTTTGAGCATCTCCCTTGTACTGGGAAAAATTAAATCGTTTTGGGTATAATTATCCCATGAAATGTCAAATTCAGCTGCAACTAGAGCAGATGTCTTTGTTAAAATATGGATCACCAACTCTTGAGTGTCCTTTGTAATAAAAGCACATTGTTTCTTCATAGCAATACTGGAAAAGATTGGCTCCAAAATTAACTCAGAAAAATTTACACCATATTTTTTTTTTCAGTTAAGACATAGCAAAGGCACTATTTATGCAACACAAATGATTAAACAAAACAGTGAAACAAGGCTAAGTGACTTAAAAAAAAAATAATAACCTCAAATGAGATGATTTGGGATACTTTGATATGTCCTTTATTCCTGAGACTCTTCTCCATTTTTTTTAAATTATTTTTTCTTCAATCTCCAGGAAACCAGTCCAAGTCAGTACCCCTTCTGACTAGTCAGTACCAGACATTCTTGTCATTCTGTTCCCTGCCTGCCAATCCTCTCTTGACTTCCACCTCAGTCATAGATGATTGACCTGTAAAGTTTGAAACCCATTTAAAGTAAGTCAGAAAAAAAGGAAAGTTATTAAAAGACTATATAAGAGGCAATTTTTAAGATATCCAAGGCAAAACACTGCAGCAGGTTCCCAGTAGAACATGAAGTATAAATTCAGAAGCCCAGCTTGTGTTTTGATTCCCTCCTTCCCCAAAAGTGTCTTCTCCTCTGTGATTGGTCCATTATCTTATTTCCTTCTAAGACTTCTTTTAGCTTCACAATGTGAAATTCCTAGAAAATGGAATCTGATTGACCTAGTATGGGTCTCTAGTGTATATGCACTCCTGGCCATGGTATTTGTGTAGGTGTATGTATGTATGTGTATAAGGTCTCTGAAGCACATTGGACTGCTCATTCTAGAAACTATAGTTTGAGTGCGTACTCTAAGAGGTAGTGTGGTTGTGAAGACAATGATATCTGACTTTGTTTTATAAGTCTAGGCTCCAGATCTATCACATCTGTCATTTTAAGATTTTCTCAACTTTTTTCAGTCTCCTTAAAAAAAAAAAAAAAGAAAAGCTAACATGTTTTCTGGTGCCCCACACAGAGAGATTAGTGATAAATACTGTGAGCACCTCAAGGAACCTCAACAGATGTTTTAAACAGTAGCTGAAGTTACAGTTAGGAGCCTTAGGGAAAATAAGAGCATCAATATGGCAATGTGGTTAGAAGAGAAACAGGGAGTAGAAGAGAGACTACCACCCCCGACTCCCAACCAAGTCGTGAGCTGACTAATGATGTGTCTCATGGTGAAGCACAGAGCTGCCCTGTGAATTTCTCTCAGATTAGTCTCAGCAGTACCCAGCAGAGTTGGTCATTGTCCTTAACTGTGTTCAAGGTAACCACATGCTGACTGCTGTAAAAGTATCTTAAGGATCTTCCTCCTATGAGCCTATTTTTGGTCCTTGTGTCTTTGAGGCTATACATTCAGTTGGAACTATGTAATGCTTACCTCTTTTAGATGTGTCTACACTGAGTTTCCTGTTTGAATATAATCTGTATAGTTCTGGGAACAGCCCCAAATCACATTTGGAGGCTCTAAGTGGAAAATACCAGCTCATGATACCCTTGGGCCTAAGTTTGTGTCTACAAATAGCTTCTTTTTGTGGCAACAAATTAGTTCTGGGGTTTATTTTATTCTGCATTATTTCCGATGTCTGCCTCACTGCCTGAATTTGCTGATGGTCAAGTCCTTCATTTATCTTATAAGTAGATCTACCCTGAAATTCTCCATTTACTTGTGTCTCTTGACCTTCCCAATAGGTTGTTTAAAGCTATTCAGTGTTTCAAACTCCTCAGTAGAGAGTTATGTGGAGTCCTGTTGTAGGAAGCAGAGGTGATATTTTCCAAATGGGGGTTTAAACAGAAGCGTTTGATGTTACTAGGAGAAAAATCAGATTTCATCATGAAGAAAGCATTTAACTACTTACTTACCCAAGAATGTTGTTTTCTTTTTGTTTGTTTGTTTTGTTTTTTGCCCACAGCTAAGAGGTGATCAGATAATTTGCTGTGTGTGCAGTGACCGTTCTGTGGCCCTCCTCCACCTTGAGGGGAAGTGTTGTCTCCTACGTGCCCAGAAGCATCTTTTCCCTGTGAGGATGATAAAATGGCACCCTGTTGAGAATTTTTTAATTGTTGGGTGTGCAGATGACTCTGTTTACATCTGGGAAATTGAAACAGGTAAATTGAAATTTTACTCCTTCTCATCCTTTGTATATTTGTGACATCAAAGCATTTGGCAAGGTGGAGAGTTCCAGAGAAGACACAGTGCCCATTTCTCTTGCTTTAATCTTTTGTTGGGCTGCATTTAATGGCTTCTGTTGAAGTGTGTGGAAAATAAAGCACAGTGGCATAAGTCAACTCCTGACCAATTGATGATTAGCTGACAGGGCAGTGCACAGAAATGAGCTGGATATTTCTGGAAGCTATAAATAAAAACATAAGTTATCTACTTTAATTATTAACAAGAGAGAAATTTAGTGTCCTACTAGTCTCAAATTATCATTAAATTCTGCCTTCTTCAGCATACTCACCATCTCAGCAACATTTTGAACTAATTGATGATCAGTAATAATGGAATATAATTAATTACAAAACTCCAAAAAGTTGAGTCAGCGAAACTGAAAACTGAGTGGCTTAGTTGAACTTTTGCTACGATAGGATAGAGAGTGTATAGTTTGAACTTTAAAACTTTTTAAAAAGTTTTACCAATTAGCTGAAGGTATGAAGCTCACACATATCAGGCAAATGCTGGGAACATATGAAAAAAGGCAAGGTAATTAATGGATGTGAATTGAGAGTTTGCTGGGAGTATATTTCGGTGGAACTATTGCATGAATTTTTATTGGTTAATCGGTGTTGGTTTCATGTTGAGTGTTAACAACAGATTGGATAGTTTATAATATTATAGTTGAGAGCCATACATCTCCAAAATAATAGCTATTTTCTTTACATTTGACTTTCCTGTGCTAATGTTGATGGCTAACATACTGAAGTATAAAAGTCAGAATCAATTCAATGGCACCCAACTACAACAGAATGCGATGTAATTCTGCCTTGTATTTGTATCTTGCTGTACAGCTTTGACACATTTTTATGCTCATTTCTGCATTAGATTTTACAACTTCTGGGGTAGGTAGGTAGAAGAGGTATTAATTCTCCATTTTATGATGAGAAATCTTTAGCTCTGAGATTTAAGAATGATTTATTATAAAAATAAAGATCTTTAAAAAGAGCTCACATCAGTCTTGGGCATCTACAAACTACTACCTATATGCCAAATCTCACCTTCTGCTTATTTTTGTTCATTAAGTGTTATTGGACACAACCTCCCCATTCCTTGCTCTGAGAGGTCAAGTAAATGTATAAGATTGCACAGCTAATAAGTTATGGAGCCAATATGAAAGATTCCATTGTCCTTTGAACAATTTACAGAAATCTGGGAGAGTGTTAGACTTCTTAAACTGCCACCCTGAGAGACAATTTAGTGTTATGGTTAAAAGTGTAGGCTCTAAAACCTAGGCTTGCCTCCAGGATCTGTCAATGAGTAGCTGTATGACCTTGGCATACTTAGCCTCTGTATACTTCTTCTCATCTGTAAAATGGAAGTAGTAATCCTGTCCTCTGTCAGGATTAAATGAGCTAATACCTACAATGCTTGTAAACAGTGCCTCAGTAATAGATGTTATATTATTATTGCCATTATTATCAAGGAATGTATTAACATCTTGACTTCCATACATATGCGTATATACAGTTGCCGTGATTTCAATTGTCAGTACTTGGCAAACCAGCATATTTTTCCTAGGAACCAGCAGGGATAAAGAGATATCTGGGGGGGGGGAAAAAAAAAAACCCTCACTGCCATCAAGTTGGATCCGACCTGTAGCGACCCCTCCTCAGGTTTCCGAGGCGGTATCTCTATGGAAGTAGATTGCCCAGTCTTCCTTCTGAAGAATGGCTGGTGGTTTTGAACTGCCAGACTTCTGGTTAGCAGGCAAGTGACTTAGGCACTATTCCACCAGAGCTCCAAAGGAGATACCTAGATACTCACAAATATTTATGGTTCCATTGCTCCATTAGTCATTTTTCAGACTATGCAACTTTTTATTTATATATATTTTGATGAGGTGAGGAGGAAAGGAGGGAATATAGACCACTAATACTACTTGAGACCACATTTATTCCCAATTTTAATTTTAATTTTGTTATTTCTCTTTTGTACTCAACCACATACGTAATCAAATATAGGATATTTGAAAAATAAGGAAAAACATCTAAAAAAAAAAACAACTTAGTAATCATCTCACCACCTAAAGATAATTGCTATTAATAATTTGATCTACTTTCTGTCAAACATCTTTCCATGTCAATAAATAAATGCCTATATTGTGTTTCAGTCATGGTCCTGGCAGGAAACTGTATTCAATCCAGGTGGGTCAAACGAAGAGAATGTACTGAAAAGGATTATTTAGAGAGCTGTGGTAGGGATTAGGAAGCAGAAGTACTGATGGTGAGGACCTAGCACCCAGTCACTAGCCATTTTAGGAAGCTGTTACCACTTCTAGGGGTGGAGGGATAGAAGGAGATATTAGTGTTACTAGAGCCCAGCACAAGGTGGAGCTGGGAAGACATGGCCACCCCTGATGGCATGGAAGGGAAAGAGCTTCTGCCAGAAATGTGGGGTTGAAATAGGGAGAGAGTTGGAAAAACTTGTCTTTTCTCCTGAAGCTATTTCCATTGGTTTAATTCCAGCTGCAAATCAGAGAACAAGAAGATATTTCTAAGTGTCAGTTTCCATACACACAGAGCAGGAGAGAAAAGGGTGCAGAAAGGATGGAGTGGGTTGTCAAATGGGCAATAATCTGTCTAGTGGGATTATGAACACCATACTTTAATTAGGGATTCTCTTATAGTTGGTGGTTTATATGGTTTCCTATACAAAGTTTGTTACAGAATTGCTGTGTCAAAATAATATGCACATATTTGGTGCCAAATTACCCTATAGAATATTAATTCCAAATAAGGCTGTTTATCCCTTGGTTATCTGTATTAAGAGTTTATAGGCAACCTTAACTCCACCTAAAGATGAAGATTATAATTTGTGGTAATATTGATAATAATTATAAAAATGGCTTTACATATGTGATGTCTCTTTTTCAAAGTACCATGGCACTGGCCATCTCCTTGGAGCCCCAGAACACCCTGTAAAGTTGTCTGAGGGCCCATCATTCCCCAGCAGAGTCAATTCTTTTAAATAAATTCAAGTTGTTCCTTTTTAGTCTTGTGTTTAATATTGGCTTATTTGTAAAGTTTCTTTTAACCTCTGTGATTGCAATTTTGTTTAAAATTTAAAAAACTAAATAACTTTTCTTTCCAAGACAAATTCCAGCTGGCTAAAATGCTTTCCTCATGTTTACTGTACTTGATTTTGGTTTCATCTTTTTCATTTTCATGAAATTAGGGAAAACACACCAGCTAAGAACAGGTTAGGCTGCAAAGAGCTGAGTGTATGGCACATGCCTGTTCTCTGATATGCATGATCTACATGAATAAATGCATGAATAAATGAGCTAACCCAACTGCTCTTGGGCCTCAGTAGATTGAGTACAAATGAGCTCACCTTTACATTAGCCTATTCTGGTGGCATGGCATTTAGATAATGCCTCCCAACTATAAGCCTTACTTTGTCCTTCAAGTCTCTCTTAGGGTTTCTAGAGCTCACATAGCATGTCTCATCTCTTTAGATGTAGGTATTTGCATTTTCTACCACATTCAGTTTTTCCCAGGTCTCTGCCTTTTAGCTTTTCTTATGAAGGAACAGACCTAATTTTTGCTCCATTTTGTTTTCAGTATCCCATCTACTATAAATACATGAAAGGTGGAGTAACTTCACACTATCAGATCTTTTCAGCACTAGAGCAATTTCAGAGTTCCTAGACTGGTAGCAGGAGCTCTGGTAGCATAGTGGCTAAAGCACTTGACTGCTAACCAGAAGGCTGGCGGTTCAAACCCACCAGCCACTCCTCGGAAGGAAGGTTGGGCAATCCTACTTCCGTAGTGATACTGCCTTGGAAACCCAAGGAGGGGTCGCTATGAGTCGGGTCCGACCCAATGGCACATAACAACAAACAACAACAACAGACTGGTAGCATAGTCGCTAAGGCACTTGACCGCTAACCAGAAGGCTGGCAGTTCAAACCCACCAGCCACTCCTCAGAAGGAAGATGGGGCAATCTATTTCCGTAGTGATACTGCCTTGGAAACCCAAGGAGGGGTCGCTATGAGTCGGGTCTGACCCAATGGCACATAACAACAACAACAACAACAGACAGAAAATAGGAGTTGTTAGTGATACAGAGGCTTAGGGGACGAATTCTAGAAAGAAGATGCAGGGGAAGGCACTTGAACTTATTGTTTTTTGGTGACATTAAGTCACTTCCAACTCATAGCAACCCTATATACAGCAGAACAAAGCAATGCCTGGTCCTATGCCATCCTCTCAGTTGTTGCTAGGCTTGGAACTATTGTTGCAGCCATTGTTTCAATCCACCTTGCTCAGAGTCTTCCCCATTGACCCTCTACTTTACCAAGTGTGACATCTGTCTCCAAGACCTGTCCGTTCTGACAACAAGACCAATGTACTTGAGATGAAATACAGCCATTCTTGCTTCTAAGGAGGAGCATTCTGGCTGTACTTCTTCTAAGACAGATATGTTCATTTTTTTGGCAGTCCATGGTGTATTCAATATTCTTCACTCACACTATTATTCAAATGTATCAATTCTTCTATTGTTTTCCTTGTCCACTGTCCAGCTTTCCTATGCATATGAAGCTATTGAAAAGACAATGGCAGACACATTTTAATCTTCAAAGTGACAGCTTTGCTTTTTACCACCTTCAAAGAGGTCTTTTGCAGCAGATTTGCCTAATGCAGTGCATTGTTTGATTTCTTGACTGCTGTTTCCATGGGCGTTGATTGTGGATCCAAGTAAAATGAAATCCTTGACGACTTCAAACATTACTCCATTTATTATGATGTTGCTTATTTTCCAGTTGTGAGGATTATTGTTTTCTTAATTAATTCTGAACTATGCCTGAAGTCTGCCTTGGTTGAAAGTTGGCAACATGGGGTGCTGGTCAGTCCTTGTGCTACATTCTCCCAAGTGCAGAGGACAGGC